ACAGTCTTGTTCAGTGTTTTCCGTGTTGTCACTGTGAATGAATGAGGCATCTTCTATCTATTGCTTCACTTTTGCCACGTTCAAAATGGCGGCGACGTGGACGTACGATGCAGCGCTCAATGAGGCATCTCAATATACGTATATGTCTATGGTCCACAGCAGGTGCTAGCCAACCCAGTTTATTCTTGTAATATTATGACTTTTTTCTCATAATTTTATTTTTCTCATAATGTAATTTTTTTTCTTAGTGTAGCTGTAAAATCTCTGTCGTACTAAAGAGATTTTCTGGTCATTGAGCTCAATAACGAGTAAATCCCGTTAGTTTTCCAACATGCAGTTAAAGTGACATTGATGTTGGTAACCCAGATCTGTTTCAATGAATGTTTGCTGAAAAACCCAGTGTACTACATTTATCAGCAATATCAGTGAAAAATCATTATAAAAAAATCTAAAATAAGGAAAAAAGTTACAGACTGGTCTCAAACTCAGCTTTCTAATGAGATGGAGAACTGCAGTGGGACTAGCACCCATCTGGGTGAAAATGACCCAAGAAAAAAGTTTCAAACACATTGAAACTACACCCAAACCTAAGCAAGAAACTGATATTCAACAGTTTCAAGCGGGACATCAAGTAAGCAGTCCTAATGATGAGGCAGTCAAAAATTTAAATGCAGGTCCCCATGATGTCAGCTACTTTACTTAGCTAATTTTAGCCAAAATTAAAGAGTCAAGAAATTTAATCAAAACCAAACATAAAATATGACTTCATAACTCATAAGTCTCTCAACTGAACATTAAAGCCTCCTTTCTTTATGATACAACTTTGTTCATTTTGGTTTTCATCTAGGGTAGATCCACAGAACTAAATTTTTGTGCACCAAAGATGCACTTTTAAGCGTGACAAGCTGGCATCCTATGTTCAAACACAGCAAAGGGCTGATAAGATTGAGAGAAAAATCCCTCACTGGCGTATTCGGCATTTGCAGAAGCCGAGTCGAGCTCGATGTTGCTCAGTCATTATCGTCTCTTTCAAATGATATTCAAACTCATCTCTACTAAAAGCCTCTTGCCAGCTCATTTACTGCAATAACCACTCTATACTCCTCTGCACTGCTCTTCACTTGGAAGTCGCTTTGAATAAAAGTGCCAGTGTCATGTAGCCCATTGAGCACATACACACACAGGGTTGATGTGTGTGTTTTGCAGCGATGACAAAAACGATCACATCCTGAGAAGATACTGTCTGCAAAGGAAAATGAAGACAGCAGAGTCACAGGAGGCGTCAGATAAATACTGAAGGGTATCAATGAGCTGGATCAGGCCAGCTTCTGCTTTGCTAACCAGCTAACCAAACAAGCAAGAAAGTAAAATCTCATTTTCTTAAGCTGTTTGCAAGTTAAATCTTTGGGTGCATGATTTTTGTCTTGACCTCCTAGCATTTAAAGTAGTTACACAATCTTGTTATGGTGCATGCTTGTGACAAGGATAAAAACACATTACCATTGACCAGTGTTTGTCCTTCTCTTTCACTTTCTGTCTTAAGCTGCAGCTTTAGCCCTGAATCATGAGTTTCTCTTCTAAAAGCTGTCTGTCACTACAGGCATTAGGTTTGAAAATCCATTAAACTCCTAAAGTAAAGGGAGATCTTAGACCTGACAGGGACACTCGGTGTGAGAACCAGTTGGTCAAAGGTTTGAATGTTACAGACTTTTAGTTATATAAAAGGATTTCAGCTGTTTACCCTAAAACCTGCTTTCCTGTCTTAGAAACAAAAGCTGATTTTGGTCATAAGTTCAAACAAACCACACAAATGCATAGCGATTTAACAAAAACACATACTAAAGTCTTGTCCCCTGAAATATTTACCAAAAATGTACTACATTTACAGTGGGCCCTGAGGTGTAGATGAACAACATTTGAAAAAACGGAATTACATTAACCCAAAGCGGAAGTGGCCAAAGTGGAAGTGGCCGGAATCACATTTGGGAGAAAAAAAACGGAATTACGTTAGAAAAAAATGGAAATTATATAATTTTTGAATGAGTCCGTTTTTTCTAATGTGATTCCGTTTTTTCAAATGTGATTTCTTTTTTCAAATGCAATTCGGTTTTTTCTAATGTGATTTTGATTTTTCAAATGTGATTCCGTTTTTTCAAATGTGATTCTGTTTTTTTTCTAATGTTATTTTGATTTTGCTAATGTGGTTTTGATTTTGCTAATGTGATTCCGTTTTTTTCAAATGTGATTCCAGCCGCTTCTGCTTTGGCTTAATGTAATTCCATTTTTTGAAATCTAATTCTGTTTTTTCAAATGCAATTCTGTTTTTTCAAATGTTAATGTACACCTCAGGGCTACCATACTAAATTACACATAAGCAGCACAAATCGAGGCTATATACGCTGCACGTTAGTTGAATAGATTTGTCACAGTTTACTGCAAAACATTAAGGCAACATAACAGACAATTGTTTTTAAGCTCATCCGATTTAGAAAGACAACCATCAGGCATCAGTCTCTGTGGCAGAACAGTTCACAGCATAATGTAGGAGTGAAAGCAAAGCTGAGAAATGTTAAAATGTTAGAAATGTCTGGGAGCTTTCAGAGTTTTAAATACTGCATTTGGAAAATGTTAGTGAATAGACAGCAGGGTCGTGCTCTCTCTGAGGCGTGGTGAAGAAGTTCCAATATGGAAAAAACAATAAAAATAAACAGAAGATACCGGTATGGAGGCTAAAGTCGTCTGTCTCCTAGGCCCAGATTTCCTGGAGGCTCCAGGGTTTGGTGAGTTTCTGGACCCAGAATGCTGTGTCTACGTAAAACAGAACAATTTCACCAGAGCTTCCTCTACACTATTGACGTGGTGCTCTTTTGATATAAGAAGTCTAAATATACTGCAGAGTTAACCCTGATTAAATCAAACTTTTATAAAAAACACGAAATATATTGTTGGAAAAATACACTGTGAAGATAAGGCTGCACAATGAAGAATAAATTCAAACCTATAGGTTTTCATTTTCTCTATATGTGTCAGGTGGCTATTTCACCCAAAATATTGTCTTATGACAATTTTTAGGTTACAACAGGAAGTATGAGACTAAAGCGTGGAGAATAATAATATCCAAGACGAACGCTTGTGTACCTACCAGCTCAAGAAAGGTATTCTCCAGTGACTTATACTCAGGTGAGCTCTTGTTGAACAGGTCATCAGAAAACATCATGTTAGTGACCCTCAAGCTAAAGAAAACCACCAACTCTTTGCTCCTGTCCACTGCTGCCATCATCGGTGTGCTGGCTTGTCTCATGGAAGGTGTGGCTGTGGATTCGTACGGGCGTTCATCAGACTCCGAGGCAAATCCGCTACCACTCTCCTCCTCCAGTGACTCTGTTACCTTCGCCTCTGTCTCGCTCTGACTTGATATGGCTTCCAGTGCTGTGAGAGGGGTCCTTCCACTAAACCCTCCACTCAGATCATATCCATCTTCAGAGAGTTCATCTATGTCCAAAGGGGATGGTAGAGGCTCCATGCCTGCTTCCGGTTCACAGCCCTGAATCGGGTCTCCAGCAGGTGAAGGAGTGGAAACTGTGGTGTCCGTGACTGTGGGAGATGTAGATTCCAAGGGGTTGAAGTTATCTTCAGTGGTTACATCAGTGGCCACTTCATCAGAGTGGGAGCCTGGTGTTACAACACTGAGATCTTCTGGATGGTCGTCACTGTCTGCATTTGCCATTTCAGGCTCTTGGAAAGCAAAAAAGAACATAATAAAATTATATTTGGAAGAAGGAAAAAGGTACAGAGGTTTAGTTATGCTCACGCAGGTCTGCAATGTAAGCTTGTAGTCTCTGGATGTATCAAGACCAGGGAAAAGTTGTACATGGTTTTCCATTAAGTAGGTTTGTGTAAAATGTCGTGAGGGCCTGTATAAAACACACAAAACCACAGAAGTGGTTCTGACCTCCTATCTATACACCTTCAACTATCTTTGAAAATTAGAATGTTAGTCCATAGGAGGAAGGACCCACTGGAAAAGTCAGGATGTTTTGGTTTGTCATACCCATGTGAAGAACAGTTTTTGTGTTAAAACCAGTTTTTTTTTTTTGTTAAAATGAAAATTAGATCATGACTTATGCTGTGGTTTGCTTGTGAATATAAGTGCAGTTTTGTTTAATTTCAAATATGCAGCTACAGCACAAGAAAGTACTATAATAAAAAGTCCAAATAAAATAAGAAGTGTAAGTGTGAGACTATAGAGTCTAGATGTAACTGGTTTAACTTTGAAGCAGAGAAACAGCATCCAATCTCAAAAAATGCAACAATTTATTGCTTTCAAAGACGCTACAAACTGCTAATATTTTCTGGGAATGCAATATTGTTTAGAGCGGTGTGGATATGTTTAATATGAAATACTTTATCCTTGAGGTGGTACCCGAAAACCTTATGCTACAACGTTTTAAAATATGGCATCATCTGGTGTGTTTGTGCAACAACAACAAGACTGGTGCATATTTAATGTTTTTATTAGCTGTGATAGAAATGATAATAATAAAAAAACGGACATATGTGTGGTTTATTGCACCTTAGGGACTTTGTTAGGGTTACAAATTTAAATGTAAATATGACTCAGTCTGAAATACCTATGCATTTGTGTCCATCGGTAAAATTGTTTTTCTTGACAATATTTACCATAATTGGTATGGCTCTTACAAAAAGTGTCAAATTAATGTGTTTGTTTTATTGCACAGTATTTAAAACCATCACATTTCATACGTTTTGTATAAAGCTAATCAAACTTGGTGCATGTTCTGTGAAGCACACAGCATTTTCCAACTAAACATTTCTTGCATTTGTAACTACATATAAAAACTTTGCAGATGGGCTGTAAGGTATTTGACATACATTTGCCAACCACCCCCCCCCCCGCAGCCTCCAGTGGCAGCACTTGAGCTAAAGTTAGTCAGCCCAGCATGGGTTTTGTAATAAATCTGAACGCATCAGGTGTGCAAGATGAGACCACGTCTAATTGTGCTTCCACTTCTATCTCCTGAGCAAGATGAGTTTTCCTTCTGCACGCTGTAACTAGACCTGATTCTTCATAGTTAATATAGACTGACTTTCATGGGACACTTGCTGCAGTGTAAATCAAGTTGCACTCAGAGCATGGGCCAACAATAAAAAGGATGGGGAATCGTTATTGAAATCGATCAGTTATAATCATTTACAATATAATTTTAAATGACACCACTTCCTAAGACCCATGCAGTCTTTGAAGTATTCAAGCTTCTCAGTATTTGTTGTTTTTGTGCCTAATTCAGGACTTCCTTTTTTTGAATTGGCGTTCTTCCTGCAGCTCAGGTCTGCAGCTCCTCCTCCAACCACCGCCCCACCATTAACACAATTGAGCTACAGGAACCGAAGTGTGGTTCAGGTTCTCATTTCCAAACGTCCCCCCTCCTATCCATCAATACCTCTAAATGGAGTCCACACCGCAGTCTAATGTTTGATTAATCAATAAAGCTTTAAATTTTTAAACTTGGCTCTCCTTGATATCCCATCTCAGCTGCTCCTTAGACGCAGCCTCACCTTCGCCGATGTGTTCAGTAATCTCCTCCATCCCTGCCTCCTCTTCCGTCTTGGTTTCCGCTGTTTTTGTGGACTCATCTTCTGTAGCGGCCATTAAAGGAGTCTCAGCAGGTGCGGCCTCGGTGAGGATGTTGGGGTTTAAAGGCACAAAGGTGTGCGTTTCTGGTTTGGCAGTAAATGGAGCTTCAAGCCAGTTTTTGATCACCGCCACGGTGGGGAATAAACGTTGGGTGGGAGTGCTGACATCGTCCGGTTCATTCTCTGCTGCGGCCTCCTCAATGGGGTTCATTTCAAGCTTTGCCACTGGATAAACTGTAGTTACTGCAAAGAAAAATGGGTTAAATGTTGCCATTTTATCATCAACCTGCAGATATATTTGGTTTATTGTAGGGATGTACGATATTGGATTTTTGGCTGATATTTGATTTGCCAATATATTAAAACGTATTTGGCCGATAGCTGATACCAATACCAATGTTTTTTTCACCTACACCTACTTACAGAGACTACACAGCTTTCTCTGCTGTGGAATTAAAATACTACATTATTCTGCATGGTCTTTGTCAATTTGACCTGCTACCAAATGCAGATTCCAAAAAGGCTGAAAATGATGAAACACTTCAACTTGGATTATGTTTAATGTCAAATTTATTCATGACATCTACTCTCTCTAACACAATGACAACACTCGAACAGTGAAAATTTGTAAATTGTCACAAATCTCAATGGCGCGCGTAATGTCATAGCGTTATGCTGGTGCTGCAGGCATCCTTGTCACTGGGTTGCCGTACTAAAACAGCACCTTTCGTATCGATGAGTTATTTTGATGGAATGGCCGATGTTTGATATTTAACTTTATTGCTAATATTGGCTGATACCGATACCATGCCGATCATATCAAGCATCCCTCATTTACTGTGATTCTGCTCACCAGTCTCGAAGCTGAGTGTCTGTATGTCCATCAGGAGGGTTGGCTCTTGTTTTAAGGCCGTCACAATGATGTGCTTGAGTTTTGGAGCATTTGCATCCTGGTTCGTTTCTGAGTCCGCCTCTTCCACCAAACCCTCAGGATCATCACCGAGCTGGGTTTCCCCGTTAAACACCACAGCACAACGCATAGACACGTCCTCAGATCTGACCAACACAACAAACCATGTCAGAAACCCTCATTACTGACTCAACGTCACACCAAAAAGAGTTTGATATGTCATGTCTTAGTCATAGTGTCTCAGAGATAATGGCTCTAAATGACATATGAGGGAAACGGACAAGATCAGCATTTATTTTTTATTTTTTTGAGGTTCTTGCTTTTTATTTTGTCAGAGTTGTCACCAGAAAGCTTGACTAAAACCATCCATCCATCATCTTTACCCACTTCTTCCTTTTCAGATCATGAGGGTCACTGGTTATATCCAGCAGTCACTGTGCGAGGGACGAGGGACACCCTGGACAGGTCTCCAGTCCATCACAGGGACACATAGAGACAAACAAGAAAACCATTCTCTCTCTCATTCACACCTAGAGACAATTTAGAATTACCAGTCAGCCTAACATGCATGTTTTTGGTATGTGGGAGGAAACTGAAGTACCCAGGGAAAACCCATGTATGCACAGAGAGAACATGCAAACTCCACTCAGAAAGGCCCTGGGCCAGGATTTGATCCAGCAACCTTCTTACTGAGGGGCAACAGCTCAACCAACTGCGCCACCGTGCAGCCCTTGACTAAAACAAACATGCTCAAACCTTTTCAACCCACCGAAATCCCAGAACACGGATTTCTTTGAACCCTGGGACTTTTTCAAAGACGTGGATCATCTATGGAGGGAAGAAAAGAGTTCAAATTAAAAAGTGAACATGAATGACATGTAAGAATTTTATTTAATTATATATCAAATCTGGGAAAAAGTATGTTATTTCCATTCCCTTCTGCAGCAGTGGTGGCAGCACTGTGGGGTTGTGTTTCAATAAAAGAAGGCTGTTAGGGTTGCTAGAGCTGAGCTTTAAACATCAAGGCTTATTTCCCACAATGCATCAAGACTCTGAACTCAAAGCTAAGACAATCAGGAGCAGATTATGGACAGAACCCAGCCAGAACTTTGACATAACTGAGCGTCCCTGTAGAGACCTGTAAATGTCCTCTTCCCTTTCCATATGAAAGATCTTGAGGAAAGCAGCAGCGTTAAGAGGAATGACCTAACTCTGGATTGGTGTTTGCAGAGTAAAGGAACGCTCCCGTGTGCTGCAGGAGTAGAGTCTCACTTTGTCTTTGAGCTCTTCGGTGATGTGGTTGTACTGCGGCGCCGCGGGGTCGCTGAGCAGCTCGCTGTACGTCGGGTCAACGATGGTGATGCTGAACTCGACAACGTACTCCTCGTAGTTTTCTTTTATCGTGTTTGGGTCTTTGATCTGACAAACAAGAAATCCATTGCAGCGGCTTTTAATCATGATTTTGGAAGGAAAAATTTAGCAACTTAGCTTACCTCGTCAGATGGAAGCAGAATCACAGGCAGGGTCCAGGCGCCTGGGGTTAAAACCACAACTAATCAGTAAAAAGTATAACAACGACCTGATAAAATCATTTAGTTCATCCGGCCAAACTAAAACAGGACTTACATTCACTGTCTGGCTTCTGAGTGGCAGATACAAAACTGAAAATGGAAGGACACTGTTAATAATGTTGCCTAATCTGTAGAAATGATGCAAAACGGTTCAGCTGGAGCATTTTAAAAACTTGAAAGATGACAATTTAGTATGATTGAATAAGTCAGAACCCTCGTGCGTAACATTCATTTTATTTTATTTATTATCTTTCTTATCTATTATTTAAACAGATCTTGTAAATGGGTCCTTGAGGCTCATTGCGGTTTATCTGTATAAATAAAGGTTGAATGAAAATAAAACTTCTATATTCACATTGGGAAAAACATTTGTTTCCTATTGAGAAGAAAATAAGAACACAAGTTAACTAATTATTTATTTATAGGCCTAGTCTTATTTAAATGGAGTCATATTTTCACCCACTTTCATGCCCAAGTTTCAGAGTAAAACCATCTGCTGAGAAGGGACGAAGCTGTCGTACATTTGTTGTGGTCAAACCTCATATTTGACATTATTTACAGTCTCACTGTAAGAAATCACAAGATGCAATAAAGAATGTGTTGATAATTCTCAGCTTCTACTACCTCAGTTTTACTTTAAAATATGTAAAACTGACCGAGTTACAGCCTGTTTGCGCAGCCATGGATTACTTTCTATGAGTTTTACTCAATTCTGTCCAGTGCTTCACGAGATATTTTGCTAATAGACAGTCACTGTTGACTCCAATAGTTAATGGCAAAATGTAAACACAGATTTTCTTCAACCAGTGAGATTGGAACGTGATAAGAATTACTCTTGGCTGATATCACAACAAATGTTATCAATATCTGCACTATTGGATGCGTTTTAGCCATTTTTGTATTTAAAGTTACGTTAAGGTGGCTCAGCAGTGGCAGTCATCTTGAGTGAGATTAACTCCAAAGGTTAATAAATAAATGCATATCCGATAATCACTTCTGAGAGTTTCAGCAATACCTGTCTGGTTCATGAGAAATGTGGCTAATGCTACAAACGAACACAACCATGCACCTACCCATCACCCTCAGCCTTCTCTGCCACTACCTGCAAAGAAAACAACATGTCAATACATGTCTTCAAATCTCATACAGCACGAGCATGTGGATGTGAATTTAAAAAGCTGCTGCGTGTTTGCATCTCTCACTCTGGCCACCATGTCCAGATGCTCCTGAGAGCTGCTGAAGTTCTGGGCCAGGTCGTCCATGCAGAGGTTCTCATGCTGACAGGTGTCAACCCAGAATCTGTACTCCTCCGGGCTTGGGACTCGATCCAAAAAGACCCAAAATGCTTCCCAGATGGCTTCCTGACAAACTAGAGATAAATTATTTAAGAAGGTAGCAGAGGTGCTTTATAATGTTTCATATAAAAGTGCATACATGATGTAAATAAGTGTGAAGAACTCGAACAACGGGATTAGAAAGGAAAGTCTCGGAGGATGCCATGAATCAGAGATTAATAATTGGCTTTTATCTCCCCACAGAGAAGATTGCAACTGCTGCATTTCACAAGAATCAGTCATTAGCATGTTGGGTCACAGCAAATATTTATTGTGAGATGATAACGGCGCAGAAACGCTTGTTTTCTAAACCTCAACCAATATACAGTACCTCACGACTCTTTATGGCCATTTGTTTTCCCTGAATATTAGAATGATGAAAGCAAATAAAACCACACGTTCCATCTGCCTCCTTGGGTGAAATAAGTGTCGCATTGTCCAATATCCTGATGCCTGTGGGAAATTTAGATTCCCTGACAAAGCCATTACTGAAGCGACGCTATTACCTCCAATACGCCAATTTAATCTGC